CTCTACCAATACGGTTAATCGGTATAGCGCCACGTCCACCTTTATCTAGATAACCATAAGTGTTCATTGTGCTAATATACTAATATATAAACATACATACAAAATTTGGTACTTCATACAGTGGCGTTAAAGCTAATTAATGTTAGACACTGGATAATACATTGCCATGTTACAAGGTGTATGCAAAAGCATGGATACGGTGCATATATACTCGTACATAACGTGTACTCATATGTTGAGTACACTATGATCGTTTGAAGCATTATCATTAGATTACAGAAGACATGTACATACTGAAATATTAGGTGCGCAATGTTATGCTGGAATAAGTAATTAGTACAGTGAATTAAAATTTAGACCTTAGATTAGTACTGTGTGGTACAGTGTCTTGCTACTGAATTATTTGTACTGTTTCCTAAGTACATTAACCAATGTACAAAGATATTAAAACATGTGTATTAGGTACACAGTAATTAGTGGATACCCAAGCGTTAGGTAAGTGCTACTTTCACATACATTAACAATAGGTACTTAATACAATGCTGAACAGATAATTGGTGCAATTAATTTTAGAGTGGGGCTCTAGTTAGTTCTTTGCGATACGGTGCCGTGTTACAGGATAAAATGCGCAGATGGATAATTACATTATCATATATACAGAACATAAATTCATATACATATATACAGACATTTTGTATACAGAACATAAATTCATATACATATATAAAGACATTTTGTATACAGAACATATATTCATATACATATATACAGACATTTTGTGTACAGACACATTAGGTACATGATTATTCAGTGCGTAATAGATGTATATTAACTATTTGGTGCCAAGCTATGTGATAACACTAGTAAATACATGGGTACAATTACATATAAACAAGGACATACACAATTACATATAGACAAAAGCGTATATACGCTTATATTTGGTACATAATAGTCATTGGTGACATAAACATTTGGTACTTACTTCATATACTTAAACTCTAGATCCATAAAATAATGTTATAACTAGTAATAGGTGCTTATTAATTTCATAATAGGACACTAGGTTGATATTTGCCTTACTGTGTCACGTTACGTAGAAATGTATGCGGGTGCATGGGTACAGCTTCCTATTTACAATGCTATACCGTTTTCCTATTTACAATGCTATATCTATTTACAATGCTTATATCATTCGATTTCATAATCAATAGGTACATGGCACATTTATATACATGAGCAGATGGTACGTTGTAGAGTGCCGTTGAGGATAATTGATGCAATTAATTTTATAGTATTTTTAAAATAATGCATTTATACGCAATTATAAGGTGCATAATTGTCATTGGGTAGATATACCTTAGGCGCATAATACATATACATATTCATATATTAGTTTCTTAATACAATGCTAGGGCAAGTAATTGGTGCTGTTATTTTTACATGTAACATGATGCTGTAGGCGATTGGAGGGATAAACTAATATACATACTAATATACATATACACAACTTTTAGGCACATGATTCTCAGACATTAGGTACATGGTATACATATACATATATAAACAGATGGTTCATAATACAGTGCTATAGAAAGTAATAAATGCAGTTAACTTTATAGTAAGATTCTAGTTTAACACTATGCGAAACGGCTTCATGTTACACAGTGTTAAATACTGACGCATGAATACAGTAATATTTCTACTTGTTAATACTATATATATATACAAAAATATACAAATATTAGGTGCATAATTAACATAAGGATACATAAATTATGCATAGATGCATATATAATGCATAAGATACTTAAGTAACAAGTACATAAGTATAGTACAATGCTGGAACAATTCATTGGTGCTGTTAGTTTTAGTGTAAGATCCTGTTTAACGCTGTGAGGTACAGTGCCATGCTACAGGATGATATGCGCGGAGCCATGGATTCAGTTATACATACTAAAACACGTATACACAATTATTAGGCACGCAGTAATCATTGGATTTATAAGCATTATATACATGGTACATATACAGACGATACATAATATATAAACAAATATATATATATAATAATAATGCTATAGAAGTTAGTTAATGCAATGGATTTTTTAGAATTAAGACTTTAGATTAACACTATGCGGTAAAGTGTCATGTTGCGTGATGTTATATTCGGATGCATGGTTACATTATCATACATACGAGGATATATATACATAGTATTAGGCACATAGTAAACATTGGGCTCACAATCTTAATGCACATAGTACCTTAGTCTCGTAGACTTGAAAGTACGTAATAAGGTACAATTGGTGCTATTAATTTGATGATGCTAAATAATATTAATACAATAATGCAACAATGATTAATACAGTTAATGATCAATACAGTAACATTTATACTAGAACATATATATACAAATACAAGGCGCATAATTACATTGAGTATAGAATCATTGGGTGCATTATACATATACATACATAAAACATAACTACATGGTGATGGTACTTAAGATACATTTATAAACAGGTACAGATGGTCCTTATTTACATATTGCGGTACAGATAATAGACATAATTCGTTTGGTTGGCATAATGCAAATTGATTAAATAGTTGAGTCTTGCTATATTACTAGGAGTGTTGGATACTCCTTACGATAATTCACAGTTATTTTGTGGTGTTGATAGTTGGTGCTAGACTCTGAATTACTATTCGTCTATATGGCTGACTAAGTATGGCACAGGTCTGTGTCAAGGTCGGCCAGTTTATCCATTAAAAGCCCTATTTTTCTAACCAAGTGCCTCTGTTTTATCAAAACCTTACAGAAAGCTTGTCAATTGGTCGACGGAAGGTTGATGTGTAGCCCTTCTGTAAGGGGACAGGAGGTCAGATAATGTTCCGGAAAGCCAGTCTGTCCACAGGTGCTAGTGTTTCTTATCCCGCGTTTGTTAAAGTACTCGGGAAATGGTCCGTGACCCGTAATGTATCTTACCAATTGCATGTTTGCAAAATTTTTGGTAGTGTCCACGTAGCTGACATGGTAATAAGTCCGTCGGCCGGTATCGCTGTTATCCCATGTCTGCTGCCATTTCCCGATTGCCTTTAAGCGCAATGTTCTTTTCAGATAAGACACTATGTTGATTTGTTGAGATGTTGCTCCTGTGGCAGCTTCTTTGGCTAGATGGTCAGCCAACTCATTGCCGTTGGTGGCCGGCATGCGCTTTGATCCATTCAAGTCTTGTATGGAGTTGGGAATTTTTTCGCAGATCTTCCTGTATTCCCTGAATAATACCGGATGGGTGGTCAGGGTTTCCTATTGCGTATAGTGAAGAAAGACTGTCTGTCTTTATTGTAGCGTTGCGGGAGTGGTGGGGGATTGCAGGTAGCGGATTGCTTGCGCAATTGCCACTGCTTCTCCCTGAAAAACGCTATTAAATTGCCTTAGTTGACCCTTCCATTGATCTATGACTCTATCTTGCATAACCATAGGCCTTCCGATTTCAAAGACCACATAGGCACTTCGTTTTCGTCTATCTTCGACGACCGTCAGTGAAGATGGTAATCTTGCTGGACGGTGGGCGGTAGTTGGATTGGTAATTATGCTTATTCCGGTGCCTTTGGCTGCTGGATGGATTTTCAGAGGGCAGCATTTAGCTTCATAGTCCTCTGGATTAAAATATTCTTCGTCAAAGGTGACAGGTCTTTTAAGCTGCAGGACGATTTGTCTTGCTGCCTCCTCTTCGACACGGATGTGTAGGGGAAGGAGGCCAGCCAGCATGTTGATCGCATCTGAAGAGGTCGTGCGGTAGGCTCTGGTGATACCCAATGCAAAGGGTCTTTGAATGGTAGAAAGGTGTTTAATTTTCCTGCTTTGCATTGGGTGAGCCCATACTGCTGCTGCATAAGTGACTATCTTTTCCACCACTGTGGTGAAGAGGACCTTCTGAATATGAGGATTGAGGCCCCATTTGTGGCCATGAAATAATCGCATTTGCTTCGCTATTGTCACTGTTCTAATTTTGATGTCCTGGATGTGTGGTATCCAGGTCATCTTGTGGTCGAACGTAAGGCCCAGATATTTTAGTTGATTGACTATTTGTATCCTCTGATTGTTGATCTTAATGGTTGGTCTTCTTGCGAGAGAACCTCCCTTTTTAGGTATTAATAACACTTTGGATTTGTGCTCCGCAATTTTCAGTTTAAGGTTGTCACATAGGGCGTAGAATTGTTGGCACACTTCGTTACAGTGAGTCTGTAATTCTCTTCGGGTTAGACCTTTCACTATTAACGCTGCGTCGTCTGCGTAGGCGTAGATCTGGGTGTGCGGTGGCCATGTAGCTGTTAAGACTTCGTTGAAAGTTAGATTCCACAGGTGTGGACCAGCGCACGACCCTTGTGGACAGCCTCTCGTCTGCTCCTGTTTTATTATGCCTGAGTTGTGAAAACTGCTAGTAGTCTTCTATCCTGTAGATAGTTTATTAGCATCTTATACAGGTTGCTCGGACATTTTGCCTTCCGCAGAGCCTGTTTTATAGCCGGCCACCATAACGTATCAAAAGCGTTCTTGAGATCTATGCTTATCATGGCAGTATGGTGGCCGCTATGTCGATTCTCTAAAATTGCTTCTCTAATGTCGAAGAGTGCGTGGACTGTAGAAGTGCCCGTCCTAAACCCGTATTGTCTCGAGCTTAAGAATCCTTGCGTGTGCAAATGGTACTGTAGCCTGTTCATAATAATCCTTTCTAGTACCTTGCCCATTGCCGACAAGAGACAGGTAAGACGACAGGATGTGACCTCGGCAGGGTTCCGGTTATTTTTCAGAAATAAAATAACCTGCTCTATCTTGTAGGGTTTTGGGAATATACCTGCTGCCAGGAGCTTGTTGAAATAGTCAACGAATAATTTAGGGTGCGTTTTGATCGTTGCTTTGGTGATAGCATAATCCATCCCATCGGCCTAGGGGCTTTCTTGCGCGCAGAGTTGCAAGAACTGTTTGAAGTTCATTAATTGTAATATCCGGGTTCTGTTGGGGTGTCCAGTGTGGTTGTTACAGTCCTGAGAAGAGCTTGTTCTGCTGTGTCCTGCAGTATATCGTCTTTGCAGAAAACTGCGTTTAAGACCGTACGTAGGGTGTCTGCCGTGTACCCCTGACTGTTGGTGATTGAGAGAGGGATCTGTAGCTGCGAAGGTTTAAAAATTTTATCGGTAGCTATTTTGTGGTGAATACCATACGTATTTTTTGCTTGGGTGCAGAATTCCCTCCAGGAAGTAATCTTAGCCTGAATAATCATCTTTTTGTACCGCGCCCGCTCCCATTGAAATATGGTGAGGGTGTTGGACTCTATCTCCAACCGTCTTTCGCTTTTGAGTTTTCTTCGCAGTGCTCTGCACTTTCGTTGCTGTATTCTGAGCGCACTCGACCACCAGTTAATGCCTTGGAGTCTCTTAGGTTTTCTAAGAGGGAGATTTTCATTACATATGGCTTGCATTGTTTCTTGTAATGTTACGGAGAAGTCTTCTAATTCTGCTGCCGTGTTAGCTAGTTGGAGCGAAGGTTCGAGGCGCATTAGCTGCACTTTAATTTTCTTCGTAAATGTTGTTAATTTCCGGCCAGGAAGGTTATAGCGTTTGATCTTGGACACGGAGGTGGTTTGCGATATACAGAAGGTAATAAACCTGTGATCACTGATGCTCTCTTCCTCTTCGACTTTCCAGTCCTGCAAAAGAGGTGCTACGTGCAGAGTGGTCAGGGTGAGGTCTGGATATCCCTGCGCAAAGACCCTGTCGAAGGATGGTGGTGCATCTGCTGTAATCTGAACTATTAGATTACTTGAGGATATGAAGTCCTCTAGTTCTCTCCCTTTCGGGTCTGTAGTTCGATATCCCCAGGCCGTATTATGTGAATTGCAATCGCCTGCGCAGATCATATTTGGGATTTTAAATCGATGTATGATACTTTGGATAAATCTTGTCGTCGGGCCAATATCCGCTGTTGGAGGAGAATAGATCGACGCTAAGATAACAGCGAAGGAATGTACTTCTAGGAGCACTGCTTTGTGTTTGACCTTTCTCGATTCTAACAATTATTCGCCACTTTTAAGATTTGATTAAATTATGCTTTTGAGCCATGATTAGTGAATACTGATCACACTTAGAAACCACATTCACTTTAAACAACTATAGACCAGAATTCCAACATGCTTCCATTACGCACTACATTGTCAATCATAGAATTTGCATATTTCTGGCTATGCGCGGAAATGCAGTTTTGTGTTCAATTATATTTTAATTAACATAAATAATTACAGCCTTAAACATCGGTGTCAACATTAACTTAGTGAGCGTATTTTTTCACGTTATCCTTTAATTATGATGACCAGTGTATATTATGAGGCTAATCAGTATTAAAATTTCACTGATTAATTAATTAGAAACGTTATTTAGATTGACTGGATTCACGCTTAGCCTAGTTGATTTAAATTTCTGCTTTTATTTTCAGTTTCTAAATAAAAATCTTTTTGTTTTATTTTACCATACTAATATTAATTTCATATAACAGCTAGTTATAAATAAGCAATAAAAACTCGAATGTCTATCTGTAAGAGTATCACAACATATCACAGACATTTACGTTAGGTAATAGCCAAAGACTAACAGTTCTTTACTTTTGACCTGCTTCGAAACACTGGAAATTCGTAGGTGAGGAATAAATTATGGAATTACAAATGCCTTATTAGAAAAGAAAATCCTCTCCCGTATTTTGTACCCTTCCACTCTGCATTAATTAACGGACAACCGGAACCTTCTTTGTACATTTCGCAAATTGACGTGATAAATCGATCACAATGCCTACTGGAATACTGATGAATATAAATTTGCTTCTTCATCGTTACGTAAAAGATTTAACCCGCTTTGCATCGGAAAAACCGATTAAGATTTAAAGAATTGCTTCCTGAAAATAGTTTCGCAATATTAGTCGTTAAGTAAGAGATAAAAATACAGATTTTTTTTACCACTGTTTCAGATTAGAAGATTATTTCACATTAATTTTTAATTCTTAAAATAATGCGAAAAAAATCTTTAAATATGAACTGGTATTTTACTTTTCTGATTGCATTTTAGTACTGAATTTTGTTAGCCTATTTTAGAACCAAATTCAGTTAAAGGAAATTATTACTAGTTTTTAGTCTTTCTGTTCTGTTACGTTGTAGTTATGGAGAAAATTAAAATAGAACAGAACGAAAAATTGTTATATAGTCTTTGGGGAGGAGGCTTACTGCTACTTGAGAAAAGAAGCTCCTTGAATAGCCCACACGAAAATTCGCTCTACTAGTAATAAATCACTAGCTTTTCTAAAATTAAATATCTAACTGATTCTTCCAATAAAATCTTTTGCCGCAGACACAAAATGAATCAGACGAATTCCTAATCTTTATTTCTACGCATATTAAATCATCTCAGTAGATATTTATCCAATCATGATAGATTATAACAATTTCTTGCGTACACAGGTTGACAGGGGCGAAATTATTTAGACGGGCAAGCGGATTTACGGGATGTCTTAGCAGTGGCGAAACTAGGAAGAGAATGACGTAGTTTTTTATGCCAAGAGTATTTATACTAAGTACATGCAGAAAGTACTCTAAGCTATGATTGGTTAATATTAGTTGTTATATAACATAGAAGGATCTCGAATTTGGGAGAGCAGATGAATTTAAGGAAGAGCACCAAATCTAGAATCGTAAATTTTGAGGTCGCCAATTATTTTTAAAGTAGCCACCGTATTTTGTTGTATCTTACATAACGGCAAAAGTGAAACCAAAGTTTTACCCAATAACACGGAGATTATTCACTCCAGAATAGTATTTATTTCAACCATACTAAATAAGCAATGCTATGGTGGAACCTCGGATCATGAACGCCTCATTTTATGAACTATTCTGTTCACGAACAAATTATCTGAATTCCTTGGCTAACGAAAGGGTCTCCAGTTAAGAGTTACGAAATCATGCGTTTATTTTCAAAAGTGTTTTAAGTAACCTATGCAACATAACTAATACTCAGAAATTTCCTGTAAACATCACTTTAATATTTTCCATTGCTTATCTCTAACTAATAGACTGAAAGCTAGTGATTTAATGTTTTCAACAGAAGAAGAACAATAAAAAATCATCCTAATTCTCGAGTTCCAAAAATTTGTGCAAAATTTATTAAGATTTGAAGTAGTAGATTGAAGATTTGAAAAGTAGAAATGGTTTTTAGCAATCATTAAAAGGGTGCATGGGGCAAAAGAACAAGGTTGAGAGCCACTAGTCTAGACCAAATGACATAAGAATTTTCATGTGAGTCATTCACATAAATCCATTTAGTGTGCTAGATTTTCATTAAAACAAATTATTTTAATTATTAATAAATTTCTACTCAAGTAAGAGCTTAGAGATAGATTAATATGCAAGGTGTGAAAATCAGTTAATGTTAATAATATTTGAAGTATTTATATTGTAATTCTTTGTAATCCTTTTTTAATAAGCAATAATAAAAAAGTAGAAAAACGAAAGTGAATAAAGAAATTCTTTCTACAACTAAAACAGGTAATTTAGTATTCTTAGAAATATCAACAGTTAAGATACCCGATTCTTAGCTCATGATGTTACTAATAAATTACTTATTTATCTTTAGTACTTACCTTGCTACAAGGCAGTCAAGAGCTATCTGCCTCGTTAGGGGACTTCCTAAAGGAAATTGTCTGCTATTTATGGTGGTATGAGGAAAATCACCCAAAGCACCAATAACAGCAATCTTCTCTATTCGGTATTAACTCACGGCGGAAGTAGCCTTAAGAAGTAGCAGACTTAAGTGGCATTATATGCTCGGCTAGTTTTGAGATATAGGATTTATGGCAAAGAGGAGAATAAAACTATTAGATATGATTCTTAATTGAAGTCATTTTCGTTGTCTTAATAGGTAACTATGTTATTTGAAATTGATGTATTTTTTTTACATAGGTTTTTGTAAGCCTCCTATAATACTTTGCGGAGCACGAGGAAATATACTTTTTTTCTCAATCAAAAAAAAAAAAAAAAAAAATTAGCTAAAAGTTTTGTAGATTGGTATTCTCCCTTAACATTTCATAACAGTTTAATTTACGTTCGGTCATTAACGTGTACCATGAAAAAAATCTTATTTTAATCATTACGTTTTTAAAACATTTAAGAAACTCTTTGGGACGTTCATTGTTTTCAGTTCGTAGATTTACATCCTGGCAAATTATAAAAATTTTTCAATTTCAGGGAATTATTTGTTTCAAGTTCTGTATGCAAGCAAATGTGGTGAAATGAATTTATACATCTGGCTTGAATAATTAGGTAATTTCTGTATTAAATAATTACACAAATATCCGTATGAAGTTAATTTATGATGTAATAATATCACATGGAATGACTTTTTTCTACTATTCTGTTTTGCTATTTGAAGAGTTCATTTTAATTGTAAAGTTTAATTTCTGGAGAAATTAGTAAATCTGTTAAACTGAAATCTGCATACTAAGATCTAGTTATTGTTTCTTTTTAATATTATATTTTTTTATATTTTAATGTTTACTTTTTTTAACTTTTTGAGACATTTTAAGTGGAAAAGTCTCGATGTGTTAGATTAAAATCAGAAATTTTTATACTGCTACTTTTTAAATTTATTTATTTATGCTACTGTGCAAATTTTATATAATTAATAATAATTAAATCAAAATGCGATACTAATTACAATTTTTTAATGATTGTGAAGCTACAGGGGTTGGACAAAAATATGGAAACACCTTTAAAAAAACATGTTTCTTTGCTTAATATGGTGTAGGAAACCCGTTGGCATCCAAAAGCTTGCAGTCTTCTCGGAATGGATAACTACAGTTCCTGTATGTTTGCCAAGGGAGTATTATACCATTCTTCCTGCAAAACGGTGGCAAGTTCAGATAACGATGTTGGCGGTGGATAACGAGAACGCACTTTCCGTTCCAATGTAGACCACAATGGTTCGATAATATTCAGGTCTGGTGACTGTGGTGGCCAGGGGAGATGGGACAATTCATCCTCGTGCTCAGAAAACCAGTCCTGGAGAATGTGAGCTGTGTGAACAGGGGCTTTGTCGTCTTTGGAAGACACCATCACCATCGGAGAACAAAGTTTGTACCGTGGGATGAACTTGATCGGCCAAAATGTTCACATAAGTCTTGGCAGTCATGTGCCCTGACACAGTTATCATGGGGCTAGCAGAGAACCACGATATGGCTGCCCAAACCATAACAGAACCCCCCCCCCCCCCCCCCCCGCCATGTTTCACTCTTGCCAACAAGCAGTCTGTATTATAGGCTTGAGATGGCGTTCTCCAGACGTAAACTCGACCAGAATTGGGAAACAATGTGAAAGAAGACTCGTCAGACCATATTACTCGCTTCCACTGCTCTATAGTCCAGGCTTTATGACTTAAACACCACCTTTTCCTGTTACGGGCATTAGCATCACTGATGAGTGGCTTCTCAATTGCAGCACGGCCAGCAATTCCCTGTTTATGAAGCTCCCTTCTAATTGTTTTGGTACTCACAAGGGTTCGGTAACACAACATTCATTTCAGCAGTAACTTTTGCAGCTGTGGTCTTCTTATTTTTCGTCACAATTGCCCTTAATGATCGTCTGTCACGATCACTCAGGACACACTTTCGTCCGCGCTGTGATTTAGCAGAGGATGTTTTTCCGCTTTTCAAATATGCGGAATAAATCTTCGATACAGTACCTCTTGAAACACTAAACATCTCGGCTACCTTGCTTACGGAAGCACCTACCATACGTGTTCCAACAATTTGCCCACGTTCGAAGTCTGTTAACTCTGACATAATGCAATGACAACCTCACATAACAGTACTCCGACAACAACTGAA